CGCGCTCGATTTGCTTACCCAGTTGTCCATGAATGATATTAATATTATTAATAAGTATTTCGTGCGCACGTTATACTTATTGTGCGGCCGTGAAATACTACTTCGTGGCCACAATTAAACATTTTTTTTGACCATGTCATCAGAGGGGCTCCGTAATTCTTGACGCCAAGTATCGATTATTAATTCTAAAAAATAAATAAATAAAATTGCATGAATGGTTGGTGATCATCAGCCAAAAACAAGTGTAATACAGCTTCCAGTCCAGTAGATGTCGCTGCGGATGTGTTGACGCACGCTGCCTTGTGTCAAAAGCATTTCTGGTCGCGGGATACTGCGCCGAGTCATTCAAAAACAAAACACAATAATTCAAGTATTGTGACGCATCGTGATCGAATCGCATCGTGACTTCTTTGGCAATACCCACCCCTAATCTACACTGAACTAACTGCTGCTCAGGGAAGGCAAAGAGAGATAAACACAACAGATACGATGATCTGCTATGAAGCTGATTTGTTTTACAAAACATGCAAAAAAAAGCTCCTGAAGGGATGTTGCAGAGGAGATGTTGACCTGTGACCTCTAGTCGGAAACTGAAGCTGTCATTTTATGAGAACAATGGAAGGGAACTAGAACTATCTAGTTAGATGGTTTGTTTGGTGAGTTCAGCAGCATAAGTCAGACATAGAACCAGAGCTGGAGCACTAAACTCAATTTAGACCAAAGAACGGACACCGCATGTGTGCTGCTCTTTGGTCTTTAAATGTTTCTGTGGTAACGACGCAGGCCCCGCCCACCTGGTGTCTGTAACAATGAATTTATTTTTTCCATCTCTTTGCAGGTGATGAAGCAGACTGAAGATGCTTTATCATTATCTCCTCTTTCTTTCATCTTTTCTCCTTTTTTCTGTGTTTCCGTTCCTGTTCTACCTACATTGCAGTGTCCATAAAATCTGTAAAACTTCCTGCATGAATTATAATAAAGCAATTTATGTGCATAAATGAAGCAGAACACTTTGGCGATAGCCGTACTGCTCCACTTGTGAAAGCAAAATCTTTTGGTTTTTTTTTAGCATCTAGACAATTATTCTTATTGTCACACTGACAGACAGGCAGAGATGGCAAAAGTACTCACTTTCCGTACTTGAGTAAAAGTACAGATACTTGTGTTAAAAAA